ACAAGTATTGGACAGCTCCTTGACCCTCAGATACAGGTGGGAAAAACAGCTGTTGAAGCTAATTGAGTTAAGCAAACGGCGGCTAGCTCTGATGTTCTACTGTATAAAAAGGCTGAGCTAAAATAAACCACGGCTGTGGTCTCTACTGACAGTCCTCCCAAATGTCTTTTCTCTGTCTCTTGTTTTTTCTTTCAATCCTCACTCCCCCTTTCAGGTACTGTCCGTCTTGGCCAGCTAACACCAGCAGTTCTCCAAGCCGGGGTTCTTGGCCATGGCTGCCAGTCCGGGGGAGGGGGAAGGGAGGGGGGAAGGGAGGGAGGAGGGGAGAGAGGAGGGATACGGGAAGAGATTGGAGGAAGGTGGCGCAGCGCTGGGGAGGCGCTGAGGAGGAGCGAGGGGCACGCACTTGGGATGCCCGCAGGCCTGCTTGGCCGGCTCCTGGGACTCTTCAGTAGGCGCCCTTAAGCGGCAGGGCCTCTAATCATGTGTTAGACATGGAGCATGACCCAACAGTTTTTACTGCCTTCTCTGACGTGAAGCGGCAGGCAGCCAATTTTTTTTTCTTTTTGTTTTAAATTTTTATGAGTGTTTTGCCTGTATATAAGTGCACCGGTGTCATTCAATGCCCATGGAGGCAGAAGAGGACATCAGATCCCATGGAACTGGAGTTACCAATGTTTGTTAGCTAGCATATGGTTGCTGGGAACTGATCCTAGGTTCTCTGTAAGAGCAGTGCTCTTAACTGTTGAGCCATCTCTGCATAACCATACACCATTTATTTTCTATTCTATTATTTATAGCAATGTGAATTTTTAGTGATTGAAATTCATGTATTATTTTCTTGTTCAAATTGTCCCAGATTTGGCCATTGATAACTTGTGAAAGTTACCCCTCTCTTTCTTTCTTTTTTTTGGAGACAGGGTCCCTGTAGCCCCAGCTGTCCTGGAACTCACTATATAGACCAGGCTGGCCTGGATTTCACAGAGATCCGCCTGCCTCTCCCTTCCAAATGCTGTGATAAAAGGTGTTCATCCTAAAGCCTAGCTTATCCTTCTGACATTATTCTATTTTTAAAATATTTTATTATTTTTATGTGTGTGTGTGTGTGTGTGTGTATTGCCTGCGTGTATTTAAGTCTACCCATGTTGTGCAATGCCCTCAGAGATCAGAAGAGAGCATCAGATTCCCCTGGAACTGGAGTTACTGTTGTTTGCTACCATGTGAATGCTAAGAATTCAACCTGTGTCCTCTGCAAGAGCAGTCAGTGCTCTTGACTGTGACAATGAGACTAACTCCATTTTGAGCCCCCATTTCCTTTTTTCCTTAAACCAGCTCAGCAGACTAGCTCAGGGTCTGAACTTAGTTCTAGCAAGTCACTTCCCCTGAGAAGTCTGTTTTCTTTTTAGAAATAATTGACCACAGGGAGAAATGTTGCCACCCAGATACTGCAGCTGTGTGTTCCTTGCCCACCCAAGGGAAAATAACCTGAACAGTATCATGTTCTTCTTAGTACTATGCTGAAATAACAATAGCCAGAACGCCCCTACTCTCAAGGTTATACATCTGTTAGAAAATGACGGTTGCTTGTTTTGGCTTCTGTAAACTGCTTATTGCTGCATTTACTGGTCAGTTCATTGTGACTCCACTGTCCTTGAAGCTGTCAATACCACAGGAATGAAGCAACTTGTGGTTTTTCCTTTAAAAATCTCCTTCCCCTCACAGTTTTACTGCAGTCTCTTATCTCCACCTGGAGACTGTCAGCTTCAGCTTTAATAAATTTGGCTGAAGCTTTAATAAATTTGGCTAATCTGACCTAAATCGAGTCGGTGGTCTCTCTGGTGGTCCTGAATACCATGATATAACCACTGAACCACCCCTCCAGCCCCACTCTATTGTTTCTTAAGCACACTACCATTTGGCACAAGAGATTTGTTAGATTTTGTCTAAGAAGTGTTTTCCTGAGCTGGGGTTGGTGGTGCACGCCTTTGATCCCTGGTCTACATTGAGTGTTCCAGGCCAGGTGGGGCTACAGGGAGATCCTGTCTCAAAAAGACCAAAAAAAGAAAAAAAAAAAGTGTTTTCCAGAAAGGTCATTTGTTGATTTGGCACTTAGCTTGTGGATTCAATTACTGAGCAGTGACTGCATTATGAAGGCTGTGACCTAATCAATGGGTTAATCCTTTGATAGATTCCTAATTTGATAGAATTAGTGGGAGGCAGTGAAAGCTCTCCTAGGTGGGACCTAGTTGGAAGAAGTAGGCCACCAGGGAAATGCTCTTGAGGATTTATCTTGTCTCCAGTCACTCCCTGGGTCCCTTTTTCTGCTTTCCTGTGCTATCATATCAGTCAGCTGGCTAGGGTCCTTTTTCTCCCCTTAGAAATAATGGATGGGCAAGGTGCTCTTCACCCTTCTGGTCTTTGGCAGCTTTTATTTCTGTTGGTGCTTGGCAGAGGTGAATGGCAGTAGGTGGCACTGTCTTGTGCTGTAGGCTTCAGGAATCGGGACTTTAACTTCTCCCCACAAGTGTTACAGATCTTGTGTAGGTCTGTAAGTTGAGATTCTGAAAGCCTTGTTTGCAGCTAGCATGGTAGCTTCCCAACAGGCCTATGTATAGGAATTCCCCAGCCATTGACAGTATCCACTGTTATAGGCTCTTCTGTAGGCCTAGGAAGTGGGGGTTCCTTAGCCTTTAACTCCAGCCAGTGTTATACCTCCTGGCCCAGGGTCTGAAATACTTGTCCCTAAAGACTTCACAGCTCCCTGGTACTATTGCAGGCCTGCAGCTTCTCTGGCTCCTTACAATCTCTTATCATTTAGCCTTAGCTCCCCTTTTGACTTCTCTGCTTCCAGCAATTCATTTTTAAGAAATCATCAGAAATATTCTCCAGTATCTAGAGATGTCTATATAAACATGTATGAGCAGTTATTTATTGTATCACAGCTGCAGTTGGCTGTATTTAGCATTAACACAAAACACACTTTAGAAAATTTTGAGTGTTATCCTGTTGTGTATGAGCATTTGTGTGTGCACATTGGTGCATGCATCAAGGCTGCAGGATGTTGGGCATCCTGCTCTACCATTTTCCACCTTATTCCTTTGAGTTGGGTCTCTCACTGAACCTGGTGGGATGGTAGCCAGCAAGCTCCAATGATCCTCTTGTCTCCACCTCCATCCCCAGAGCATTGGGGTTGCAGAGTCACACAGCCATGCCCAACTTTTTACATGGGTTCTGAAGATCCAAACTCGGATCCTCTTGCTTGCATAGCAAGTGGTTTTACCCACTGAGTCATCGCCCTATGCCACTGCCAGAGGATTAAACAAGAAGTGTTGATTCTTCTCATATATGAAGTTCAGAGAACACAAAACAAAAAACCAGGTATGATAATTCATGCCTAGGAGGCTGAGGCAGGTGGGTACATAATGAGTTTTAGAATAGCCTGGGCTAGTAATTGAGACTTTGTCTCAAAAATCCCAAAAGTTCAGGTTAGTAGTACAAGGCTAGCATATGCCATGAAGATTTAAACTTCAGTCCCCTCACTATGATACCCCAAATAAGTAATTGTCTTTCTTATGTGAAAATATGGCTTCATTACAGAGTACTCCAAGCAGGATGAATAGGTCAAGGCAAAGACTCATGCTTGCCAAAGCTGTCCAGTTCATAAAAAACAAAGCAGTTTTATTAAGCAGGCTTCCACGTTCATCTCAGTTTACAAGAGTAGAGTCACAAGGCCATTCTTAGCTGCAGAGATTATTTATTATTTATTTTTAAATATTTTACATTTAATTCTCATTTATCTTTATTTATTTTCTTTTGTCCTTTTGAGACAGGATCTCCCTGTAGCTCCAGCTGGCCTGGAACTCTATGTAGACCAGGCTGGCCTTGAACTGATTCACCTGCCTCTGCCTTGCAAGTGCTGGGATTAAAGGCATGCACCACCATGCCCGGTTCCATATTTTTTTTTTTAAAGAAAGAAAAAATGAAAAAAAAATGCAGTTGTGACAAAATCTTTGTTCTTAGCAGTATACAGTTTCAAGCTTATCATCCCAGTACTCTGGAGGCTGATGTAGGAGGATTACCCATGAGTTTGATGTCAGCCCAGCTTGGCTACAGTGTGAGATTGTCTAAAACGAAAGTATTTTTAAAAAACCCACAAACAACAACAAACCTATCCTTCATGCCAAAAGAGTCCTGAAGCCAGTGTGGCCTGACTTGAGGCAGGGGTTGGTTTTTTTGGATCTGGCGCCTCATTCCCGGCCCACATACTTGATCTGGATTTGGGCTCCCTGGGCTGCAAAGAGAGCAAGCTTATCCTTAGCTGCTTCCTTCAGGCAGGGCAGGTCCTGGAGAGAGACTGGCTGTGAGTTACCATCAGTCCCCAAGGGGAACCTGTGTGGAAATCATAGGGTCCACCAGGATTCAAGCTGTGCTCTTTACCAGCTGTGTGACCTTGACCTAGTTCTGATCCTTACTTGGCATGCATTTCCAGTTCCTTCTCTGTACACTGGGAGAGTATGAGACCTACCTGAAACTTTGTTCCTGTAGAGGACAGGAGGTTCGTCACACCCTCACCTGGGTTGGCTTCCCTCCCCAGCAGCAGCTGTTAAAGGCTTGATCAGGAAGCCCAGGTGTGGCCTGCTTGCCCACTTCCTGCTCCTAGGTTGTTGGACTTGGTTCTCTTGGCTCTTCTCCAGCTCTGGGGTCAGTACCAGGAAGCTGAACCAGGCGGTGGCCCTCTTCCCCTCCCTCTCCTTTCTCACTGGAGCCCTGGCAGGTTTCAGGTGGGGGGTGAGGCTCTGGATCCTGGGCTGTTAGCTTTTGTCCTGGTGCTAATTGCTTAGGAAACTTACAGGGAGGATGGAGTGGAAGAGCCATAGCAGAATCCAGACATTCATGGATTCCCTAAATCCCACCTACTTTCTCAGTGGTGGAAAAGCTGGAAATAGAGCTTTTCTATAGAAAAAGCAATAGAAGGCAGAGTGAGGTGTGGGGAGTAGGCTTCAAGGTTTTGAGCTTGCTGTTAAACCTGAATACTTTTCATCTGAGGAACGCTTAACTGGTTTTCGATACATGATTCTTCCATCAGCTGGAGGTGGTTCTTCATCTACAACAGACACAAAGATGAAGAGTTTTCTTAGTAAAATTTTTCTGTCAGCAGAGTTTCAGATGGCAAGAAAATCTCATACTGTAGTTAAGAATGTCCTTGAATAAGTTCAGTATGTTCTTTTCTATTGCTTCTTAGCTATATATCACACAACACATGCAGTCACTCAATAAAAATTCAGTGAAGTGGGCTGGAGAGTTGGCTCAGTGATTATGAGCACTGATTGCTCTTGCAGAGGATCCGGGTTCAATTCCCAGCACCCACATGGTGGCTAACAACCATCTGTAACTCCAGTTCTAGGGATCTGATGCCCTCTTCTGACCTCTGTGGGCATTGCACAACATGGGTGCACCTACCTACATGCAGGCAATACACTCATACATGTAAAATAAAAATAATAAATAAAATATAAAAAAGAATCATTGAATTGGGGTAGGAGAGATGGCTCAGTGGTTAAGAGCACTGACTGCTCTTGCAGAGGACCCGGGTTCGATTCCCAGCACCCTCTTGGTGGCTATGAACCATCCTTAACTCCAGTTCCAGGGAAATCTGAAGCCCTCTTCTGACTTCCATGGTATTGCACTCACATACTTGCAGGCAATACACTTGTACACATAAAATAAAATAAAATAAAATAAATCATTGAAATATTCCATGATTTTGTTAGTCTCCAAGTGAGGAGTCAGTCAGGTTGTAGTGGGGGTGGGGAAATGGCTTAACATAGGATATCACATATGCTAAGCAAGTGCTCTAACACTGAGCTGCACGCCCAGCCCATCAAGTATGTGTTTGTAGCCACAATATTTCCCCCTAAAACAATGTAATAAATGTTTTCCAAAAATAAAAGTATAACTACATAACACACTACACTTTAAGTACTAATTAGTTACATAGAGCTTTGTTGTTTAGTTGACCCATTTAAAATATTTTTGATTTTTTATTTTACGTATATCAGTATTGTGTCTGCATGTATGCAAGTGCATGTGTCATACAATGCTCATGGAGGTCAGAAGTGGGCAGCAGATCCCCTGGAACTGGAGCTACTGATCATTGTTAGCAACCATATCGGTGCTGTGAATTGAACCCAGATCTACTGCAAGAGCAGCTAGTGCTCTTAACCACTAAGCCATCTCTCCAGGTGTGTCCCCCCCATTTTTTTTTTTTTCATAGAATGCACTTAAACTTGCACACTTAATAAGCCGGGCGTGGTGGTACACGCCTGTAGTCCCAGCACTTGGGAGGCAGAGGCAGGAGTCTCACTCTGAGTTCAAAGCCAGCCTGGTCTACATAGTGAGTTCCAGGACAGCTCGGGCTACAGGGAGACCCTATCTCAAAGACAAAACAAAACAAAACAAAAAAACCCCTTGCACTTAATAAAGAATGCAGCAAGGTAGATACACTTAACTGTCTCCACTGAACTGAGGAACTTGATGCAGAGGTGAAATCACTTGCTCAAGGTTACACATCTGATACCAAAGCCAATAATTGAACCAAGGGCCAAAATAATTGCATACTTAAGACTCCTCAAACTGATGGAAAAATCAGATTATTTCCAGACATACCTTCTTTGGCAGCCTTTATTTCTGCTTTAATTTTCATGACTTCTTCAGCTGTCAGGTCTCCCTTTTTTAAAACTACCACTTGAGGCTGCTCATCTTCTTTGTCACTGTGATCACCATCTTCATCTGGGAGCTGAGGCTGTATTCTCTAGGGAAAATGTATATACTGTCATGTAGATTGCTAACCTTGAACCAAGCACAACCACTGCTTCTGCATTTTAGTAGGAAATGCATTTTCAATTAATTCCCAAGTTTTACCTCCCAGTCTCTCTGAAGTATTTGTCCAATGGGATTCATTTCTATTTAGTCTGCTTAGGGCAGTGATAAGCTACATTGGTTCTCTTTGTTCCTCAACAGTATTTTTGACTTCTATCTTTTATGAATTAGACAACAAAACGAAACAAAAAGTCAACCAATCAACACCCCCCAAAACTACCAAAGTATAGAAAGTAACAAGTAAAAGGTACTTTCTCCTTATCTGCTCATCTCTTATCCTAACAACCTCAGTTTGGTAGACTGGTAGATATCCTAGCAGCTGTTTTCAAAGGACATACAAATAGGTTTTTTTTTTTTTCGGTCTTTTTGGGACAGGGTTTCCCTATAGCCCCTGCTGGCTTGGCTTCGTTATGGTGACACCAGGCTGGCCTCGAACTCGCAGAGATCCGCCTGCTTCTGCCTCCTGAGTGCTGGGATTAAAGGCGTGCGACACCACGCCCAGCCAGGACATACAAATAGTATATAAGGATTTTTGTACATAATGCTATGTCTATTGTTTAAATTATGAAATTTCTCAAACAGAAACCATACTCATATACACAAATACTCATATACACATATAATCATATACACATGTATATAACCATATACACATATACCATATACACAGGTAACAAATGTGGTAGTTTGACAGCTGATTCAGATTTAAAAAAAAAATGTTAGGTACTGTAAAAGCTCCATGTTTCCATTCAAAAAGTATCTTTGAGATACATAATACTTTGAGATACAAATAGAATTATCTAATTATTTATTTTATGTATATGAGTGTATTGCCTGCATGTATGTGAGTGCACTCCTGTCCAGCAATGCCGTGGAGGTCAGAAGAGGGCTTCAAATTCCCCTGGAACTGGAGTTAAGGACGGTTCATAGCCGCCATATGGGTGCTGGGAATTGAACCCGGGTCCTCTGCAAGAGTAATCAGTGCTGTTAACTGCTGAGCCATCTCTCCAGCCCCAGAATTATCTAATTTTTTAAACCACTTCCTAATATGTAATTTTGTGCATGGTCATCTCATATGTGAAGAAATGGTTTTCCATTTTTCTTTTTTTGTTTGTTTTGAGACAGGGTCTCACTATGTAGGTCTGCTTGGCCTGGAACTCACTATGCAGATCAGGAAGGCTTCCAATTCAGAGATTCACCTGCCTCTGCCACTAGACTGCACACCCGGCCGTGCTTCCAGTTTTTTCATACAAGAAAAATTTGTGTATATTTTTGCTCACTTCGAGAAACAAGACAACTTCCTGGAAGTGGAACTGCTGGGTTGAAGGATACACAACCAAAATGTGTAGAACCTTCAGCAGTTTCCCAAGTAGGGAGATAAAGCTCTACATAACTCGGCCTTAGTCCACTACCACAGCTATTTTGACACACTCTAGAATCAAACTAAGTTTGAGTTCTTAAGAGATTCATGACTGTATTCATTCCTTTGCCTACCTTAAGGGTCTCTCTACAAATCCTGACTGTCTAGAAAGCCCCACTGCCCTGACCAATTTCTTCTCAAGCAGCCTTCAAGATTAAAGAACCTGTAGAAATGTCTCCAGAGGTAATCGCACCTCCTCTTTTGTAGTGTGTGCAGAGGTCTTGGCAGAAAGGACGACATCGTATTTTAAATGTCCTCATTAGGTAAGTTTCTGTAGGAGAGGAACTGTTTCATCTCTGTATCTACAGAACCTGGCAAGCGGCAGGAATTCTATTTCTGGTCCAGGATAGAGCCTCCAAAGACTCCAAATTAGAGTCTTAGAACACTGAGTCATCTGACCAAGTGGCCTCAGTTTAAGAAAAAAGGGACGATGCTGTCACTCACCTTTCTCACATAATGTGAGATCCGCAAGTGAGAAAGGAACAGGAAGGCTGTCTTAACTAGCTACCTAGGGCTGGGACATCTTCAAGAACACAGCAGCGGTCTGGCAATCAAAAGTTCTCAGAGTGGAGGAAGCTGTAACCCAGGAGGCCTCACCAGGCGTAGGAGGCCAGCGCGTTAGAGGACCTGTCAGTTATAAGGGCACCGAGAAGCCGGAAGTGCAGGGGCTCACCTTGGTCTCTACGGTGGGCCCCTCCTTGTAGCCGACTCTTTCCTTGAAGCGGGACAGGAAGGCCGGCTCCGCGGGCCGCACGTAGGACACTTGGTTCCGTTTGCTCATGGCTTGGATGAAATCACTCGGAACAACTGCCCCAGGTCCAGAAGGTCCGGCGCTTACGTAAGCCGGCGCTCACTACTGACGTCTTTAGACCACGCCCCCTGAGGCGGAGGGGTAGGGGGCGCCAGTGGAGCCCAAGCGATGTCAGCGCTGGACTGAAGCGCCAAATTCAAATCGCGGCCATCTTGGGCAGGAGTGTCGTAGCGGTCGGCTAAGGCGGGGCGGTGTCTGAGGTGGTGGCAAATCCCCGGCCACCGGCATTATGGCCCCGGGCTGCAAAAGTAAGTCTGGAGCCTGCCGCGCGACCGCAGCGCCGCCCGCGGGTGCGGTGTTCTGGGACTACGCCCAGCAGGGCTCCCCGCGGCGGGCGGCAGAGCGCGCCTTCCCGAACCGAGTTCTGCACTGTCCCCCAGCCGGGAGCGGCAGGCCGGACCGTCCTCATCCGGGGCCTGGCGCCGCCGACCGCCCGGTCCTGTCCTCGCGGCCCTGCTTCTTTCGCCTCTGCGTTTGCTTCTTCATTTATGACTTTTTATTTTATTATTTTTATGTGTATGAATGTATTGCCAGCATGTAAGTGACCCGTGTCGTGCAATGCGGCGGAAGTCAGAGGATTTCGGATTCCCCTCAAACTGGAGTTAAGGACGGTTTGTAGCCGCCATGTGGGTGCTGGGAATCAAACCTGGGTCCTCTGCAAGAGCAGTCAGTGGTCTTAACCTCTGAGCTCTCTCACCAGCCCTTATTTATGACTTTCTTAAAGGAAGGATTTGTGATCCAGTACTTTCGGTTCGCTAGCCTGCCCCCTCTGATGGGAGAATTTAAAGCAGAAGTGCAACAGTGTTTTTACAGTTGTTTTGCTCTCTCATACTCCTAAGAATTCCTGAAACCACAATAGTTACCGCAGTAAACTGCGCTTTCCTATATACACATGTAAATTAGGTATAGTAGGAGATTGGCTAATCATAAAGTACAGCAGTTATAACAATATATAGTAATAACAGTTATGCAGAAGTGGTCTTTGCCAGAGTGGCTGACTGTTCTCACCTTTTATGTCAGTTGCTCCACTGCTTGGTGAGAGGAAAAGCTCTAGGCAGTGTGACAGAGTTAGGTTGTGGGAGTCACTTGTACGCAAGCATTGTGATAGTTCTAATTGATCTCATAACAAAAGGCTAAATGACTATTAGAGCAACCTATGTAGTGTGGATAATGCCCTGGCTAAAGGGAGTTCCAAGTGGCATGAAACTTCTTGTTACTAAGAACAGGAGACTAAGTTGAGCTAGCTAGTCTTCGTTAAGAAACAAAGCATAAGATTTAGGAATTATTTCTGGATTTTCCATTTGTTTTGGACTGTGGCTGATGGCCGATAACAGACCATGGAAAGAGAAACTGCAGACTAAGGGGAGACTTATATATTCTAAATTTGTTTTCATCTCAGAGACCCATTTTACATGCCCCAACCCCACTCCATATTTGTCACCTTCATGTTTTTTCTTGAGGCAGGATCTTCCTGTAGTTCTAGCTGGCCTGGAACTTGCTTTGTAGATCAGGTTGGTCTGTTTCTCAGAGATCTGCCTGCTTCTGCCTCCCAAGGGCTGGAATTAAGGGTATGTGCCACGTCTTTAAAAAAAAAATATTTACTTTTATGTGTATGTGTGTGCCTGTGTGTGGGTATGTACATATGAGTGAAGGTACCTTTGGGTGCCAGAGGTGTTGAAGTCCCTTGGAACTGGAGTTACAGATGGTTGTAAGCTGCCCTCATAGGACATGGGTGCTGGGAATGGAACTCAGGTCCTCTGCAAAAGCAGTACACTCTCTTAACTGTCTCTCCAGCTCTCCATCTGATTGTTTATAGCTGATTATGAGAGTTCTAAGAATGGAATGAGGAGATGCTTGAGGAAATTGTAAAATTAAGGCATTTGAACTTTTCGATAGTGTTAATGTTCCTGACTGACTCTCAATTGTTTTCTGGTGGGTTGTTAATCTTACACAAAAGGATGTGTATAGCTTGTGTGCAGTGATCATACCATTTTATAAAGGGGGCTTATGTTTTGGTATTCAGGGCTCTGTAGATAATTTGTTGATACCAAAGGATGATTGTATGTACTCTTACATAGTATGTGGTCTTGGAATGCCTTATTTAGAAGGGCCCAGGAGATTGCTCAGCAGAAAAAGGTGCTTGCCACCAAGCCTGAACCATTGAGTTCAGTCACCTGAACCCACATGGTGGGAGAGAACCAACTCAACAAGTTGTCTTCTGATCTCCACTAGCACGTACTAAACACACGCACGCACGCACGCACACACGCACGCACACAAATATAATAAAAAATTTAAAGGCTATATTTGATAAAACACATAAAGAAATTGAGGAAACATTGTAAGCAGACATCATAGCAAGTGTTCTAGAAGTGCCAAGATTGGCATGTCTGAGGGATAGCAAGAGCCAGTTTGTTGGGGTGGAATAAGTGAGGAGTGAGTAGTAGGGAATGAGCTGTGGAGGTGGGGGCTGAGCAAGATGATGGCACTAGAATAAGTCAGATTACATGAGTGATTGTAAGGACTTTTTCCTTTGTATGAGATGGAAAGCCACTACCAGGTTTGTTTGGTTTTGAACTTTGAGACAGGCTCTTACTGTGTAGCCCAGGCTGGCTTCAGGTTTGTGATCCTCCTACCTCAGCCTTCTGAATATAAGGTTTGATTAGAGGAGCAACTTTCTATGGCATGTGAAAGCATTATTTTTGAAATTTTGCTGGGCATGGTGGTACATGCCTTTAATCCCAAGCAGAGGCAGGTGGATCTCTGTGAGTTCCTGGGCAGCTTGGTTTAGATAGCTAGTTCCAGGCCAGCTAGGGCTACAGGGAGACAACCCTGCCTCAAAAAGACTAGAAAAAAGAAGAAAAAGAAAATTTGTATTTTCCTGTAATTGAAACTTTAAGAAAAACTGTAGAATAGTACAAGGAATTCTTGTATAATATCCTTTATCTTTATTAGCGCCATTTATTTTGCCTCGTTTGCTTTAAAAATTATATATTTACACTATTACCTATTATTTAATGTTTTTTTGCTCATTCTCTCTCCAGTCCTACATATATATATATTTTTATGATCCATTTGAAAGTAAATTAGAAGCATCATGTATTTTTTTTTTTTTTTTTTCTTTTTGAAGCAGGGTCTCCCTGTAGCCCCAGCTGTCCTGGAACTCACTATGTAGACCAGGCTGGCCTCGAACTCACAGAGAACCGCCTGCCTCTGCCTCCCGATTGCTGGGATTAAAGGCCTGCGCCACCATGCCAGATGTATTAATCATTTACTTTAGGTATTTTTTCCCAAACTCAGACTTAGTATTAAATTTGGGGGGAGGGGCCTCTTTTTGAGACAGGGTCTCCCTGTAGCCCCAGCTGTCCTGGAACTCACTATGTAGTCCAGGCTGGCCTTGAGCTCACAGAGATCCTCCTGCCTCTGCCTCCCGAGTGCTGGGATTAAAGGCCTGCGCCACCATGCCTGACAGTATTAAATATTTTAGTGTAGCTGGGTGTGGTAGTGCATGTCTTTAATCCCAGCACTTTACAGATCTCTGTGAGTTCAAGGCCAGCCTGGTCTACACAGGGAGTTCCAGGCCAGTTGTAACTACAGGGAGACCCTCTCTCAAAAAAAGACCAAAAAAGGAGAGAGATTTTATTGTATTTGGTATTCACCTTTTTTTTTTTTTTTTTTTTTTTTTTGGCCTTATTGAGACAGGGTGTCCCTGAAGCCTGGAATTTACTATGTAGACCAGGCTGGCCTCAGTCTCACAGAGATCTGCCTGCCTCTGACTCCGGAGTTCTGGGATTAAGGGTGTGCACCACCATGCCCTTCTAACTTTTTTTTTAAAATATTTCATTTATTATTTTTATTTTATATGTATGAGTGTATTGCCTGCATGTATGTGAGTACGCCCATGTTGTGCAATGCCATGGAGGTCAGAAGAGGGCTTTGGAGTCTCCTGGAACTGGAGTTAAGGACAGTTTGTAGCTGCCATGTGGGTGCTGGGAATCAAACCCTGATCCTCTGCAAGAGCAGTTAGTGCTCTTAACCCCTGAGCCATCTCTTCAGCCTCGCCCTTCTAACTTTTAAAACAGGTGACTTTTGATGTAATTCACATACTGTGGATGTGAGGGATCTGAGAAGGTAGTGGGGGAGTTCTAGCAACTAAAGAAAAAAATTCCATAATGTATTGTTTTCCCTATTTTGGGCACCCAGAACTTTGCTCTTGCTGTATAATGAAATTATAATTACTTTTAATGATCTTGAGATGCAAAATGGCAGAGGGAAGGCAAGTGATACAGGTGATAAAGAGTTTACAAAAGGCACAAAAAGACATGCAGAGTTTTAAAAAATAGATAGCAGGTTAGTTTTCTGGACCAGTTTCTAAGAGAGGACCAAGGCTGAAAGGGTAGAAGTCTTTTATAGTTGTTGGGGTGGGGGAACACCAAAATGTTTACTTGTTCTTTTGAGCTATTGGTGTGAGGTCCATATTGGATAGGCAGGTATCTCACTGTCTTGTTAACTAGTAAATTTTAAGTATTAGTTATTTTTGAGACCAGCCATTTGTTCAGGTGTTATGAGTCATTATGAGTTAGGCTCCAGACTTCTGCGTAAGATATCATAAATTACTAGGGGTCAAGCTCTAAGTAGTTGTGGCCTGTTGGTGAAGTATGATTGTTTTTGCTTTAATTTTGTCCTTATCGCTTCTCTTTTTTTTTTATTTTCCTAGCTGAGTTACGAAGTGTGACAAATTCTCATTCTAACCAACCAAGGTAAGAAAAAAGTCTTGCTGATGTGCACAAAAGAATTTGTAATGTATTTCTAGGTTAACTGTTTAGAGTGGTAAGAGGTTCTTGTTTTAAAATTTAGCTTGTCCTCACCAGCTAGAAGTATGGGGAAATTGCATACCTCACCATACCCTCCAAATTCCCCAGAAAAAAAAGGATTGAATTGTGTAATATCCCTTTGGAATGACTTATTTTATTATTACTAGTAAGAGGGAAATGAGAGACAATATCTGGAGCTCCTTGAAGTGACCTGTCTTTGATTTTATTTGTAGTAAAGGTTTGTGAAGGTGCTTACTGGAAAATACATTTGTAAAGGTTATGAATCTTGTGAGAGCTTCAAAGAGGTATTTCAGTGGGTAGGTCTAGGACTTGGATTTGTTGAAGAAACTCTCAATGTGGACATGTGACAGGAAATTTGAGACACAGGTCCTTTTATAGGTTATTTTTTTTTCCAATGAACTTAGCTATGACTTCTTTTTTCTTTTACTTTTTTGGTCTTTAGTAGTGAAGGTGATGCTATCAAAGTTTTTGTGCGGATTCGTCCTCCTGCAGAAGGTGCTAGATCAGTGGACGGAGAGCACAGCTTCTGCTTATCCGTGCTCTCACACACCACTCTCCGGCTGCACTCCAACCCAGACCCCAAGACCTTTATATTTGATTATGTTGCGGACATGGACACCACTCAGGTAGTGATCATTGGAAACTTAATCTTTCCTTTGGTGTATAGAAGGCTTCATTTGTTAGGATTCAATTTCTGGCCTCTTTTTAGTTTGGAAGACTTCAGATAAGGAAGCTGAAACATTCCATAAGTACTTCCAATCTAATTTTACTAGACTTCTTTATTCAGATTTGGTCCCAGAATGGCACAAAGCCTGCTTTATGTTTCTTTTACACACAATGATGGAAGTTAATGAAGATTTCAGAGCCACTTAAGTAATTAGTAAGTATAGTTGACCTGCTAGTTTAAGAATTTAAGAGGAGTATGGGTTGGCTGGGTAAAAGATGGCTCAGTGGGTAAAAGTGGTTTCTGCACAGGTCTCCTCAGAACTCAAGTAAAGGTAGGAGAGCCGGACTCCACAATGTTGTCCTCTTCCCTCTACATGTGCTGTAGCATGAGTGCACCTCCACCCACCACATGTACACAATCAAAAAAGATGATTATGATGTCATAACAGCATTTGTAACTAAGGCCTATTTAATTAAGATCTAATAGCACTGTGTAAAAGAACTTCCTGGCTGGGTGTGGTGGTACATGCCTTTAACCCCAGCACTTTTTTTTTTTTTTTGTCTTTTTGAGACAGGGTTTCCCTGTAGCCCCAGCTGGCCTGGCTTGCAATTCTCTATGTGGACCAGGCTGGCCTCGAACTCATAGAGATTCACCTGCCTCTGCCTCCTAAGTGCTGGGATTAAAGGTGTGTGCCACCACGCCTGGCTTAATCCCAGCGCTTCTTACAGTAATGGAAATATTTAGTATTTGACCTGTTATACTAACCTCTAGCCACATGGTAATTTAAGTTTAAATCAATGGAAATTAAGTAAAATTAAAATTTTTTTGTCACAGATGTATTAGCTACACATGGCTTTTGAGAATTTGAAAAGTGGGTAATCAGTTGGATGAACTAAGTTTTATGTAGTTTTAAGTAGTTGTATATAGCCAATGGCTACTATATCAGGTATCACCTGTTTGTTTTGTTTTGATCTTTCTAAAAAATATTTTATTTTTATTGCATGTGTATGAGTGTATTGCCTGCATGTAAGTGCACCTATGTCATGCAATGCATGTAGGTCAGAAGAGGGCATCAGATTCCCCTGGAACTGGAGTTACAGATAATTGTTAGCTGTCATGTGGATGCTAGGAATAGAACCTGGGTTCTCTGTAACAGAAACCAGTGCTCTTCACCACTAAGCCAACTCTCCAGCCCCAATTGTTTTGGTCTGAGACAGAGTCTCTTTCTTGCCCCAGGAGGCCTAGAACCCACCATGTAGACCAGACTGACTTCCGTCTCACAGGGATCTGACTGCTTTTGCCTCCCCAGTGCTGGGATTAAACGTATGTGCCATCACACCTAGCCCTGTTTTGTTTTCTTTTGAGGCAGTCTTGTGTTTCCCCAGTTGGCCTAGAGCTCACTAGGTAGCCAGAGATGACCTTGAACTTTAGATCTTCTTGCCTGCACCTCGTAAGTGCTGGGATTACAGGCATTCTTCTACCAGCATGCCCAGTGTATGTGGTGTTAGGGATTGAATACAGGACCATGCAAGCACTCAGCTGACTGAGCCACACTCTAGACCATCACAGGTCTTATTTATGCACATGAACCTTTCTTTTTGAAATATTTAGATGTTTAGATTTTTTTTTTTTCCTTTTCAGCTAGAGAATTGCAGGCAGGTCAGTAGAAACATAAAATGAATCACATTTATAATTTAAGTTTCTTAATAACACATATTTGATAGAGTAAAAGGAAACAGATAAAATAGATTTTTAAGAAATTTTCCATTTTTGGTAAACTCAGTCTTTAGAATCTATTTTACACATGCACCACATGTCAATTTGGACTAGCAATACATCAGGTTCTTATTAGCCACATTTAGCTCACGGACAGTGTAGGTTTAGAAATTCATGCATTCTTGATAAAATGCAGTCATCAATAAGTAAAAGTAAGAATTTAAAAATCCGGTATTTAGTAAAGATTAGTGATTAAATAACTGAAGAAAATTTAGAGCTTTGTATTGTAGGCTGAACTCACAGAGATCCATGTACCTCTGCCTCACACATACTGTGATTAGAGGTATGTCCAGGAGCTGGAGAGATGGCTCAGCAGTTAAGAACACTTGCTGTTCTTGCACAGGACCCAGGTTCAGTTCTCAGCATTTACATGGTGACTAACAACCCTGCCCTTAACTCCAGTTTCAGGGGATCTGACACTTTTCTGGCCCCTGTGGGCATTGTACACATATGATGGATGTACTTAATATGCATGCAGGTAAAACACTCATACACATAAAATAAAAATAAGTCTTTTAAAGGTGTGCATTACCACATGTAGCTGCATGCATTTTTAAAATTTATATGTTTATTTTGTGTGTATACAGGTGTTTTGGGTTTTCTTAAATATTTTATTTATTTTTATTTTATGGGTATGAGTGTATTGCCCACATGTATGTGAGTGCACCTGTGTCGTGCAATGCCGCGGAGGTCAGAAGAGGGCATCAGATTTCCCTGGAACTGGAGTTAAGGACAGTTCATAGCTGCCATGTGGGTGCTGGGAATGGAACCTGGGTCCTCTGCAAGAGCATTCAGTGCTCTTAACCACTGAGCCACCTCTCCAGCCCCGTATATAGGTGTTTTGATTCCTGGGAACTGAACCTGGGTCCTCTGCAAGAGCAGCAAGTGCTCTTATCTGCTGAGCCGTGTTTGCAGCTCTGAATTTTTTTGAAATAATTTTTCAATTAAAAAATTGAAATGAGAGGCTAGAGAGATGACTCAGTTGTTTTGAGCACATGCTGCTCTTCCAGAGGATTTGAGTTCAATTGCCATCACCTATGTTGGGCAGCTCACAGCAGCCTATAACTCCAGCACTGCACTCAGGTGTACAAACCCTCACACAAACATATACATATACACATAACTTAATAATAAAATCTTTTAAAAAAATTGAAATAGTTGTTGAGATAACTGAGCCAATAAAGTGCTGAGGACCTGAGCTTGATCCCCATGTTTAAGTAAATGGGTCAAGCCAGGAATAGTGGTGCAAGCCTTTAATCCCAGCACTTGGGAGGCAGAGGCAGGCGGACCTCTGTGATCAAAGCCATCCTGGTATACATAGTGAGTTCCAGGACAACTGGGGCTACAGGGAGACCCTGCTTCAAAAAGACAAAAAAAAAAAAAAAAAAAAAAAAATCACATTTAAACAAAGCTGGGTCTGCTGGCATAAACTTAATAATCCTAGCACTGGAAAGGGAGAGTGGGTGGATCCCTGGGACTCCCTCTGTCAGCCAGCCTCGCCTACTTGGTGAATTTCAGGCTGATGAGAAACCTTGTCTCCAAAGAACAAAACAAAACCCAAAATACCTGAGGAATGGCAAATGTGTCCTTTGCCCCCTCCCCCATTCACACATGCGTGCACACAGATGTGCACATACACACCTGCCCCCCTAAAAATCTAAGTAAATTTGTAAACAGTAAATACTTCAAGAAATAGTAAAAAGGCCTGGAGAGGTGGCTCAGCTGTTAGGAACACTGACTGCTCTTGCAAAGGACCTGGGCTCAAAGCCTAGCGCCCACATGTTGGCTATCAACTGTCCGAAACTCCAGTTACAGGGGATCTGATGCCTTCATTTGTCCTCTATGGGCATTGCATGACATGGATGCACTTACATACATGCAGGCAATATACTCATACACATAAAATAAAAATAACTAAATAGTAAAAAAAAAAAATGTCTTTTAGAAATTGATATGGTCAGAACAGCCAAGCTGACACTATACTGGCTTTCTCAGATACTGCTGTGTGGTCAGGTTTCTGACCTTCCCCAGTCAAGTTGCTCCATAGCAATAGATACACACTTTAAATCTGTAGTTGTATAGGAGATTAATAGACCTAATTACATCTACAGTTTTATCCTTTTACAGGGTTTAGCCATTTTCCTACAGTAGATGCAATCTGCATGTTACCACAGTGTTAAAAAAAAATCTAAGTACTCTGTTTTTAGTATTACATTGTGAGACGTAGGTTATAAATATTTTTATTTTTCCAAGATGTTAACATTTTTGGTGTATTTTTTTTGTAGGAGTCTATATTCTCAACCGTGGCTAAAAGCATTGTGGAGTCCTGCATGAGCGGTTATAACGGGACCATCTTTGCATAGTAAGTTTTTGACTGTCTGATATAAAGGTACAGTAGTACCTATATTGGCTCCTGTTACTGCTTTAACACATTACCCCAAATTTAGTGCTTAAAACAACAGAGATTTATTGTTTTATGGTTCTCTTTTGTTTTTGTTGATGTTGATAGTTGGTTGGTTTGAGACAGGGACTCCCCATAGCCCCAGCTGACCTGGAACTTGACCAGGCTGGCCTCGATCTCACAGAGATCCACCTGCCTCTATTTCTCAAGTGCTGGGGTTAGAGGCTTGTGCTACCATGTATGACTGTTTTATAGTTCTCTTAAGACTGAAGTTCAGTATGGATCTCACTCAGCTAAAATTCAACAGTAATAGGGCTTCATTTTTTTTCTAGAGGCTCTCCAGAAAAACTTTAACTTGCCTTTTCAGCTTCTAGAAACTTGGCTTAGAGCCCCCTTTCTCTGTGTTCAAACTAGCTCTGCAAACTCTGACTCTTCTTGCTTAGTGTGCGTCTCCCCATATGGTTTATGTATATGAGTTTTTTGCCTGCATATATGTAAGTGTACCACATCCATGCCTGGTGCCCCTGGAGGCCAGAAGAGGTGTCCAGAGTCCTTAGAATTGGAGTTAAGAATGAGTGTTAGCCACTTTGTGGCTGTTGAGATACGATCCTGGGTCCTCTGGAAGAGCAGTTAGTGCAATTAACTACTGAGCCATCTCTCCAGGCCCCATATTTTATCTTTTTGTTTTTGAGTACTTCCTTACTCTTTGATGGTACAGGACACTTCAGGTTCTTGTCCTGACCCTAGGCCTAGAACCATTGAAACCCTGGTTCCTCTTGTTGGAGATGGTAATTAGAAACTGAGATCTGGACCCTATTTGTGTTTCCTGCTATTGGAGAGTGACTGATTTAAGATTTTCTCATCAAGCAGGGCTAGGAAGTATATGCACATATCCTAAATCTTGTCCACAGAGATATGGGAAATTGTTTCTGTATCATCCATTTGTATGTATATTAAGCTAAAACATGAGTTTAGTCTGATGTCTGACTCAAATCCATTAACCACAGGGTTTATTCTGGCCTTCCTTTCTTATTTAACTGCTCTTGCTGGCAGGGAGCAAACTTCTGTTTACTATCGTGTTCAAACCCAGTATTGATATAAAGCAGTTTAGAATTGGTACCATCTTTCACTGTAAGAAAAGCATTTGCTACAGTTCTCTTTTTTTCAATATGGCATTTTCATATGTATATATATTTTTGTCACATTCACTCATTACCCTCTCTTAGTCCCCTCCCACTTCTGCTGATCTCCTCTTCTGTCCAGGTAGTCCCCCTTCTGTTTTCATAAATATTTTTATTGCTCTTGTTGATGATGACCCATTGCTATTTAGTGTTTCTTACAAGAGCCTGGATAAGGGATTATTTACAAGAGCATGGGCCCTCTACTCGTGGTTACATCACTGAAGAAAATGTCTCTTCTTCCCTGGTAACCCATTACTAGCCTATAAGTACTACCATATGTGCCTATAAGTTCTCAGAGATGGGCAGGGCCTGTTGGTCCCTCCCTTCTCCCTCATGGCAAGATATTGACAGAACCATCTCTCCAGCCCCCCCCTTTTTTTTTGGTCTTTTTGAGACAGGGTCTCCCTGTAGCCCCCGCTGTCCTGGAACTCACAGAGATCCACCTGCCTCTGCCTCCTTAGTGCTGGGATTAAAGGCATGTGCCACCATGCCTGGCTCCAGCCCCTTTTTAAATTCATAAAACTTGATTAGTTAATACTACCACTGAGGGGGTAGTGGCAGGTAAATCTCTGAGTTTATTGTGTCACATTATTCCTGGGGAGATGTGAACAGATGTCTGTTCACCCCAGATAGGGAACCAATGACAAACTAAAAGTAAGGATTATCATCAAAATTCACCTTGGTACAATGAATTTATTGGGGTTACTTGTAAAAGCAGAAATGACTCAAAGACAGCTGTGTCACCAAAAGCCCAGCCCAGCATGGGTGATAGCTCATGAAGCTTGAAACCTGGAAGGAGCTTGCTTGCTGGCAGCTCAAAGGGTTGAAGGATGTCTCTTCCAGGCAGCTCTGCTGACCTTTGCTTCTTCCAAGCAGCTCAGCTTGTCCTAGAGTCTCAGCGGTCCTTACTGCTTGTATGTGCTTAGGGCAGAGGAACCTAGCTAGTCTGGTCAGTTTCAAGGACACCTTGAAGCTTTCTTTAGTGTTGCTTACTTCCTACACTTAATGCAGGATGGAATATTTCACCTCCCTTTAGAATATCCTGTGAAGGTTTTGTCTCAGAGGTAATTGCTACACAAAAAGAGTTTAAGGTCAGTCTGGTCTCCATAGAGTGCCCAGGCAGCCAAGGATATATAGTAAGACCCTCTCTCAAAAAAACACTTAGGGGCTGGAGAGTTGGCTCAGCAGTTAAGAACACTGACTGACTGTTCTTGCAGAAGACCCAGGTTCAAATCCCAGCACCCACATGGCAGCTAACAACTGTCCATAACTCCAGTTCCAGGGGATCCTACTGCTTCTTCTGTCCTCCGCGGGCATTGCACAACATGGGTGCATTTACTTACATGCAGGCATAATATTCATAGACATAAAATAAAAATAATATTTTTTTAAAAAAACATAATTTAGGGGCTGGAGAGACAGCTCAGCGGTTAAGAACACTGTTCTTGCAGAAGACCTGGGTTCGAATCCCAGCACCCACATGGCAGCTAACAACTGTCTGTAACTCCAGTTCCAGGGGATCCGAGGGCTTCTTCTGTCCTTTTCTGGCATTGCATGACACGGGTGTACTCACATGCAGGTATGCAGGTAATACATGCATACACATAAAATAAAAATAATAATTTTTTTTTTTTTTTTGGTCTTTTTGAGACAGGGTCTCCCTGTAGCCCCAGCTGTTCTGGAACTCACTATGTAGATCAGGCTGGCCTTGAACTCACAGAGAGCCGCCTGCCTCTGCCTCCCGAGTGCTGGGATTAAAGGCGTGCGCCATGCCTGGCAATAAAATAGTTTTTAAAAATAACGAATAAAATTATTTTTTTAAAAAAACAAACAGGCTGGGCATGGTGGTGCATGCCTTTGATCCCAGCACTTGGGAGGC